TCCCATCAGCCGTCAAATGGCTAAGAACAGCGCCCACACCGTAGGGTGAGGCATCACATGCCAGGCACACTGGCAACTGCTCATTAAAATGAGCCAACACAGCATTGGATGTAAGCAAAGCTTTGACCTCATTGAAACTGGCCTCATGGACCTTGGTCCAGCGCCAACATGCATTCTTGTCGAGGAGTCTGTGCAATGGCTCCTGGTCAAAGAGCAGGTGGCAACTATGGCTAGGGGGAACCTTTGTAAAGATTTCCTGAATCGGGAGGTCTTACAATCACTAAGGCCTTGTTCAGGTCCTGTTTGGATTTATTAATTAACCAATTAATCAGGCGAATATATATCACCACCCATCTCCCCGAAAGGAATTATTGCAACATGTTTAACATTGGACTGCCCTTGAAGGACCATCTGGAAGCTACAAATGTCCAGAATGCAGCAGCATGTGCAGGGTTGCCTATATCTGTGTTTCTCAACCTGGACCCCTTTTAAGATATGTGGGCTTCAACCCCCAGAATTTCTCAGCCAGCAAAGCTTTCTGGGAGTTCTTAAAGCCAGCCAGGTTGAGAAACACTGGCCTACGTGTTATTCCACTTTTGCGCAAGCTACACTGGCTTCCTGTTTCTTCTGGGTGCAATTCAAGGTGCTAGTCATTATCTTTAAAGCCCTGTATGGTACGGGATCAAGCTATTAAGATGATTTCTTACTGAGATTATCTGCTTGTCCTATTAGATAGGATAGGATGGACTCACTCTAGGTTCTTTCTCTGAAATACTGTCATCTCTATGCTGTGGGACTTAGGAAGCATACCTTTTCTGAAGTTGCCCCTGCAATATGGAACACACTCACTCCAGCAATCAGTAGGCCTGCACCCATTTGGCCTTCCAGAAGGCCATTAAAACCTGTCTCTTTACTCAGGTAGTGGGGTGGAGTAGTGGGGCCTGTAGAAAGTTGTTGGGGCGTCAGGTTTTTATTTTTTATTTTATGTTTTAATAGTTTTAATTTTTTATTGTTTTGAGTCACTTTAAGAGGGGTAGCCTTACATATCTTTAAAAAAATAAAATATTAAACTGGAAATGAATTGCAGAAAAGATTAAAGTGTAACCAGTTCTGTGTTTTGATAGTTTTTTTAATAAGCGAACTTAGAAAATAGTATTTCCTTCCTCTTCAAATTACAGTTTAACTTGGTCTCGTTTTATCCTATCACATTTTCACTCTTGCTGCATCGTTCTATTTCAGGTACCAATAAGATGTTAGTAGGGAGAGTATGAACATTGTGGTGCCCAGGCAAAAACTTTAATGAACCTTATAACATGTAAAGGACACACCCCACCAGAAAATTATTTTGCTTAAGTTAGAACAATTAATCAGTGGAACAACTTGCCTCCAGAAGCTGTGAATGCTCCAACACTGGAAGTTTTTAAGAAGAGACTGGACAGCCATTTGTCTGAAATGGTATAGGGTTTCCTGCCTGAGCAGGGGGTTGGACTAGATGACCTCCAAGGTCCCTTCCAACTTTTTATTATTGTTGTTATTATTATTGTTGTTGTTGTTATTATTATTATTATTATTATTATTATTATGCTCCATTTGTTAATGTTCTTCCACACCTGCTATTCATTAAAACATCCTTTCCGTACTAGGATTCTGCAAAACCCTAGAGATCTACAGTATGTGAGATTGTGACAGAAAAAAGAGAAGAATAGTGTGTGTGTCTGTGTGTGTGTGTTTAATTGGCACTGTACAGTGGTAGGATTTGCAATGGTGGCATTTTTCACACTTTGAAACTGCTGCCAGCCTGTTGTTTTACTATCACTTTCAATGCAAACATCGAAAACAAGGTTTGTGTAGGCTAGATGTGAATTGAACAGGAAGGCTTTTGGTTTTTTTGCAAATTTTATGCAGGGATTCTCTGAGATCTGGGAATTATTTCAAGAGTATTTCCAAAGTGAAAGCTTAAGAAAGACTGCATTAAAATAAAACTTGGTTAGTGAATGATTGTGTAACGCCACTTTTCTTTTTCCAGATGTGCACTACGGGATGAATTTGGCTGCCCTGTAGATCAGAAGCCCAGGTATTTTATATATATTTTTATTTCTCTTATCTCATTTTTCTATCATGAATTCAAAATAGCATACCTGAAACCAATCGTTTGCAAAAGAGGAGTTTGCAAGTTTAAAGTTTATTGGATTTGCTTAAGGTCAGCATAGAAATGCCATCTTTGAGAATGTTTTTTGATTTTCCAGTGTTAGAATTTTGTGTAGTCATTCATCCAGGCACTAATCAGGTCCTGTCTGCTTAACTATTGATTCTAGCAAAATCAGTCAAGTGCTGCCATTTGCTAAGGCTTTGTTGTTGTTAGTTGCGAAGTTGTGTCCAATCTATCGCGACCCCATGAACAACGTTCCTCCAGGCCTTCCTGTCCTCTACCATCTTCTGGAGTCCGTTTAAGTTCACGCCTACTGCTTCAGTGACTCCATCCAGCCACCTCATTCTCTGTCGTCCCCTTCTTCTATTGCCCTCAATCTTTCCCAGCATTAGGCTTTTCTCCAGTGAATCCTTCCTTCTCATTAGGTGGCCAAAGTACTTGAGTTTCAACTTCAGGATCTGGCCTTCTAAAGAGCAGTCAGGGTTGATCTCCTCTAGGACTGACCGGTTTGATTGCCTTGCAGTCCAGGGGACTCGCAAGAATCTTCTCCAGCACCATAGTTCAAAGGCCTCAATTCTTTGGCACTCAGCCTTTCTTATGGTCCAACTTTCACAGCCATACATTGCAGCTGGGAAAACCCTGGCCTTGACTATACGTACTTTTGTTGGCAGGGTGATGTCTCTGCTTTTTAGTATGCTGTCCAGATTTGCCATAGCTAAGGCTTAGAAATAATAAATGGGCCCTCAGATTGGATAGTAGGAAGAACCTCTAAAGCAGTGAAGGTGAACCTTTTAGAGACCGAGTGCCCCAAAACAGGCCCCGCTCCCACTCTACCTGCTCCGCCCCCACCTCGCCCCATCCCACTCCCCACCCCCTATCCCACATGCCCACAGGGCCACCCACTGCCTCCACAGATCACCCAGGCGGCCCAGCAGCACCATGGCAGCCACGCCCTCTGCCTGCGCCCTGCAGAATCAACTGTGCACGACGGGGCACAAGGGTGGAGTCTTGTCCCCGCTGCCTGGCTGCCATGTTCTTGGCTGCGCTGCTCCATGTGGGCCGCGCTTGGAGGCGACTCTCCTCTGGGGAGGCTGCTGGGGAGGTGGGGGCCATGGGGAGGTGGGGCTGGGATGGGCGCACTTGCCCACAGAGAGGGCTCTGAGTGACGCCTCTGGCACGCGTGCGACAGATTCGCCACCGCTGCTCTAAAGAAAATGTGGCCCCCAAACTTTGTTCCCTTTCCTCCAAGCTAGGCAAATTAATGGGTTTGATTTGGCAAGTACCAGCTTAATAAGTTCAAAATATATTTAAGATGAATGTTAAAAATCTTTTAAGAGTTAATTAATGGACAACATTCCTAGAGAAAAGTGGTGAGATCTTTTTTTTCTGATAATATTCAAGAAAGGCTTAGCGGGGGTAGGTCTGCTGTCTCATTTGGCGATGAATGAAATAACTCTGATCCATATATTGATTTGTGTGCATCTTCATTGTAATTTCAGTATGTTTATAGCCAGTTTGCTCTTTCCTACTGAAGGGAAGCATACTATGGAGGGACAGAAATCAGGGAAAGAAAAGTATGTTGCAAGAGAGAAGAGATGGTGACTTATGAGCCGTGGTGACGCAGTGGTTAAAATGCAATACTGCAGGCTAATTCTGATGATTGCTGACTGCCAGCAGTTTGGCAGTTCGAATCTCACCGGCTCAAGTTTGACTCAGCCTTCCACCCTTCCGAGGTTGGTAAAATGAGGACCCAGATTGTTGGGGGCAATATGCTGACTCTGTAAACTGCTTAGAGAGGGCTGTAGAGCATTGTGAAGCGGTATATAAGTCTTAAGTGCTATTGCTATTAGGTCTAAGAAGTGCTTAATCTTCCTAACTGCTGTAGAGCCAGATGGAGAAACCAGTTAAGTTAGCACTATTTCCCACACACAGATAAGCAGATCACTGTAAGAGGAAGGAATGGTGACTTCAATTTCTCAGATATTGTCAGTGATAATTAGGGAAAGTTCCTCTGCTTATTGATTTGCTCCTAATCCTTTATGCAAGTAAACTATCTCCAGATGGTTCCAAGCACAGGAATACTGATCACAACTTGGCATTCCCTGTTTTAGATTACAATTTTACCTCTCTCTTTCCCTTCCCTTCTAGCCATGCTAGTTCAATCATTGCAGGTGTGGTGGGTGCTGCACTTGCCCTTCTTCTGTTGCTTCTCACTGTTATTTGTATCAATCGACGGAAGCAGCAAGAGAGGAAACATACCATGAGGCGTCTTCTGCAAGAAACTGAGGTATAGTCAGAAGTTGTGACCCCTTCCCTCAGTAATGGAGCGAAGGCAAATGAAATAAAGCTCAGATTCAGATTTCCATATAGTTAGTTCTCAGCTAAGTTCCCTTCATTCAGCCACTGTTCGAAGTTACAACAACAATGAAAACATGGACATACAACCGGTCCTTGGAGTCCTGGCCTTCACAGCTTTCCTTTAACCATGCGATCGTGATCCAACTGTTGGGCACCTGGCTCATGATTACAATATGACCTTGACATGAGTCGTGGTCACGTGATCACCAATTGCAACCTTCCCTAGCTGCTGACTTCCTATAAAGTCAAAGGGAGAAGTCGGTAGGGAAGATTGCAAATTGTTCTGGTAAGTGTCTCCCACTGCTTTTTCTCCCACCTACAGCACTCCCCTTCCTGTGCACAGCCAAGCTCCCTGACCTGCGCATGACCTTTCTAAGCCTCCCTTGAGCCATGCGCTGGCCCTCCCTGCGGCCTTCTCTGCCAACTTCCAAGGCCTCCCAAGAGAGTCTCACTCTGTTACCTTGGAATCCTATCTCTTCCCACTTAATGTCCCACACAGAGCTGCACCAGTAATTACGGCTGCTGGGATTGTTGTCACCAAGTACTGTGATCATGTGGCATTACCCTTTAAAACTGCATCACTTAGCAACAGCAATCCCAGTCCCAATTGCCATCATAACCCAAGGACTACTGTATAGAGTCATGGGAACAAATACCAAAAGAGGGACGTTATTTTTATATTCTGTTTCCAAAGCTATTAGAAAGATGTGATTGGCCACTATTTAAACAAAAGAAACTGATTCCTTATTCCCTAAACTCATAAAGCTGCTACAACAGAATGCAACAGAGCCAATCTGGTATAGTGGTTAAGAGGTAGGCCTAGAAACCAAGTTACTGTGAATTTTATGAAAAAAATGGCTGCATGCTTTTGGGCCAGTTACTCTCTCTCAGTTCAACTCAACGCACAAGATTGTTGATGTGAGGAAAATAGGAGAAAGAAGGAGCATTGGCATGTTTGCCTCCTTGAATTATATATGAAAAATAGGTGGGATAAAAATCTAACCAAAAAAACCCACCCCAGAAATACTTGAACAATTCTGAAGGATACCTAGAACTGCTTTTGTTTTCATTTACCTTATTTAGAAAGTGTTGATATATTCTTGCATTGGAGATGTATTGATGGAAATAAATTTATCTTCTTTTTTATGCCCTCATTCTTATGTTCCTTTCTTTCTATGACTCTGCTAGTTAGTGGAGCCTTTGACCCCCAGTGGAGCTCTTCCAAACCAAGCTCAGATGCGTATTCTCAAGGAGACAGAACTGAAAAAAGTCAAAGTTTTGGGGTCAGGTGCTTTTGGAACTGTGTATAAGGTGAGGAGAACAGGAATTGAAAAATTACTTAGTTAAAGGGGAAGTTTTGGCTGGAAATCACCTTGAGAAAATCAAAATATCTCTCTTCTTTCTCTGTTTTCATCCACCAAACTCTCTGAAGGCAACCTATGGTCTTCACTGATAGCAGCCTTGAAACATTGGAAACACAACATGAATCAACCAATATTCTTCCCAGCTGATCAACAAAACATAGCACACAACTAATAGCTCACTCCCTCCAGAATTTTTTTTCCTGTATTTTTCGATACTTTCTAAAACCAAAAGAAAAATTAGTAATTTTCTATGATAGGGAGGGGCATCATTCTTCCGCTCAGTTTAAAAGATTACAGAAATACTGGTATAGACCAATAATGGCTGAACATCTATAAGAGCTGGGAAATATGATAAAACCAGAGTTCCCATCAATGAGAAAAATGACCCACTCTCCAAGTTTTGTAGGCTTCATTGTCTCTAAGGAAAAAACAGATTCACTGTGATTATGGATGTGCCATACCTCAGCTGGAAATTGGCTCAGCCGCTGAATAGATCATAGTTGTGAGATCATCAAGATGTGGTGCTGATTAGGAACCTTCACTGTAACTGTGTAAGGAGTGTCCTTTTAATCAGCAAAACTCTGCAAATTCTCTGCAATTTGAAGAACTATTTTGAATGCTGATAAAGTACAGTGCCTTCTTGGCTTTATTTGAGAAGAGGATTGAACAGAAGAAATGATTAGTTAGGGACCATGTATGGAGCTATTCTTGCAATCAATTCTGTTTTGCCATCCATTTGACAGTATTTGTTCACTCTTTGTGGCTGTTCCACTTGCTCTGTGATCAGTCTTTCTTATGCAGAAATACAGTAACCATATTCTTGACTAACATTTTCCAACTTTGAACTGATCATTCTTCAAAGCACATGAAGGCAGGACAAGAAGCAATGGGTGGAAATTAATCAAAGAGAGAAGCAACCTAGAATTAAGGAGAAATTTCCTGACAGTTAGAACAATTAACCAGTGGAACAACCTGCCTCCAGAAGCTGTAAATGCTCCAACACTGGAAGTTTTTAAGAAGAGACTGGGCAGCCATTTGTCTGAAATGGTATAGGATTTCCTGCCTGAGCAAGGGGTTGGACTAGATGACCTCCAAGACTCCTTCCAACTTTATTATTATTATTATAAGGCAAATGGCAATATAATTCCCATCAGTTATAACTCCTACTTAGTTCTGTTCATTGGTGTATTTCAATGAACACTACCAGATATTTAAAAATATTATCATATTATGATATGATTCCTGCTTTATTCTTTTGGAGGGTTTTTTTTTTGCCAGATTTATCATTTTGTCAGAAGTTCTCATTTCCCAAGGGTCTTCAGAGACTGGATGGCTATCTCTCAGAGATGCTTTAGTGCAGGGGTGTCAAACTCATAACATCACGTGATGTGTCGTGACATATTATGACTTTTTTTCCATTGCTGGCAATAGGGTGGGCATGGTTTCGCTATGACGCATCTGTCCCATGGGCCAACAGTTTGACACCCCTGCTTTAGTGGATCTTATACAGAGCAGAGGGTTGGATTAGAGAACCTGTATGACCCATTCCAACTCTTTATTTCCTTGATTTTTCTATTAAATAAATAATACATAATATTTAGGTAAAAAAAAGTCACATTATTTTTTAAACACATTTTTATCTATATTTATAATGGTAAAACATGTTTGTGCTTTAGGTCTCCCAAATCCTCAAACTGAGTCCTATGTTGCAACATTCTGAAAAATGTGTATTTTATATATATTTCTTCTGCTACTGCATTTCTTATTCATCAGATCTGTATTTTCATTCTGATTGACTAAGTTCCTGATTTTTAGCAGAAGCACTCTTAATTGTGTTTACAGCTGAATAATACTATTTAAAAATCACCAGGGTTAATTTGTTATGGAGACTAGGTATTCATGCATTTTGTACATATACATATATGCTCACATCTTTCTTCATTAAAGTATAATGTGATTGTATCCATCACAACACCACCACCACTACAACCACCACCACCACCACCATTACTACTACTACTACTACTACTACTACTACTACTAGGTAGTAGTAGGTACTACTACTACCTAGTAGTAGTACTACTACTACTACTACTACTAGGTAGTACTAGGTACTACTACTACTAGGTCACGACTCGGCGGAAGATCAGGCCGCGGCCTGGGATGCGGCCGCGGCACTGGACCGAGTCGTGCCGCTGCGGCCTCTGACCCGGCGTAGATCTCAATTAGCTCCTTGGTTTACTGAGGAGCTGAGAGAGATGAAACGCCGGAAAAGACGCCTAGAGAGCAGTTGGAGGACGTCCCGGACCGAATCCGACCGAAC